CCCCTCAGCCCCGCCCCTCCCTCACCGCCCTCCCCTCCCGGTCGCAGCCGTTTGACGAACGGGATTTATTAAATCCAATTATTCAATGCGCGCAGCCCCGGCGACAGCGTCCCGGCCCCGCGGGGATTCCACCCATGCCCCCCGCGCCAGCCGTGCGAGGAGGCTGGTGCGAGGGCGGGTGGAGGGGGAGGCTTTCAGTGCGGCTTGCGCAGGGAATGAGGGATCAGGGAGCGGGGTCGGGAATGGGTCGGGGAAGGTGAGGGTCGGTGGAACATCCCACAGCGGGTATTTCCACCGATTGCCCCGAAACCTACGAAGGAAACACCCCGTAAATTATTCATGCAAGGCCAACAAGCGGTTTTAATCCTGGCTTTGGCTCTTCTGCCTGTTGATTCCGGATGGATGTTTCCTCCTCTTCTTTGCTGACTGGTGGTAGTCCGTGATCTCCACAAACCGTCTGCGGAGGTTGTAGCCCTGCCGCAGTGATCTACCCTGTTCTCTCCGCCTTTGCAGCGGTTCCTTCTGAGCAGCTCTGGGTGCAGGAGCTCTCTGGCAGCTTCTTGTGGAGGGTTCTGAAGCCGTGCCGTCCTGGGGAGCGTGGTCACGTCCTGGAGGGCTGGTTCTCCTCCTTTTCCTCCCTGTTGAGTTGTCATAATCGGTGCTGCTGACAAACCAGCTGCCCCACTGCAGGGATCTGCTCTGGGCCTCCTCCGTGGCACTCTTCCTCTGGCAGCAAGTCCGTGTGGTCCTGTCGGGCAGCCCCTGTGGTCCCGCAGAACCCGCCTGCTTGCTGCTGCCCTCACACTCACTCGGGAGGGAGTGGGCATGGGGTGGTGTCAGTGAGGAAGCTGCCATTTCTCTCATTTTCAAATCAGAGCATCTGGAGAAAAAAAAAAAAGTGACCTCTGTTTAGGGCATTCCTTGCAGACTCCTCTGAGGTTCAGTAATTTTCTTGGGGCGGTTTCCACAACAGAGGGAAGACTTTACCAAAGTCGCCAACGGGAAATTCGACTGGGGTCTTCCCACCAGGTCTGCCCTTATCAGAGCAAGTCCTCATCTCTATACCCTCTATGGCCTCCAGTTCACAGAATCCTAGAAAGGTTTGGTTTGGAAGGGTCTTTCCAAACCCCCTACCATGAGCAGGGACATCTTCTACTACACCAGGTTGCTCCAAGCCATCCTTCCAGGGGTGGGGCAGCCACAGCTTCCCTGGGCAACCTATTTCAGTACCTTACCACCCTGACAGTGAAGGATTTCTTTCTAATATCTAATCTAAATCTTCTCTCTTTCACTTTGAAATTTTTACCTCTTGTCCTATCACTATATTCCCTGAGAAAGAGTCCCTCCCCATCTTTCCTGGAAGCCCCTTTAAGTCCTCTTCTCTATGTGAGCCAGTTTCAGAGGGCAGAAAGGGAGCAGTTCACGTAGGGCAGCAAGCCTAAAACCCAGCAAGGGAAGAGAAGGACTGGTGTGGGGTAGTTCAGAATTGACAGCACTGAAGGATGCAGGGAGGAATTGTCTCCTATGGCCCTTCTCACACTCAGGAGGGTGAGAAGACAAACAGCAAATCCAGGAAAAGGAAACATATTTGAACACGTGGCACTGGTTATTACCTGGCATAGAACAGCAGGTAGGCTTGCTGCCTGAGAACTGCGTGGATGCCACAGCTATCCACAGACTCATCATCCATCTTGTACCACAGTCCATTGCTGGCCTGCAAAGGAAGGCACCCACCTCTGGAGAGGAACTGCAGGGTTCCAAACCAAGAGCACACCGAAACAAATACAGTCCAGCCGCAAAATAGACCTTCTCCCCCAAAACACTAATGGGAAAGTTTGTCTTCCCCAGCACACATTTTTCCCCTTCAGGAGGGAAGCTGGTCTTTACCTTTGTGTAGCAGAAGAAGTGTCCATCCAGACAGGTGTCACCGCTGTGCACCACGACGGCGTATAAGGAGTAGAGGAGGGGTTCTCCAGCTATGTCAGACATGTATGGCAGAAGATCCAAGTACTCAGGATACTCCACAAACTACAGAGAGACCAAGTGGGTCAGAAGTTATCCTGAACTACCATATTGAAATAGCCTTCAGCACATGATGGTTTGGGTGGCAGGAAACAGTTCTCAGCCAAAGCAGCTCTGTTGGAACAGAGTCCAGGCTGGTCTTCCCACAGGAACTCTCCTCTCCCCATAAGGGAACGTGAAAAAACCCAAAATCAGCAGCTTCTGTAAGAGTGTACTGCTTTGGGGAATGTCATGCTCCAGGAAGAGCAGGTTGCCCTGCAGTTGCATACCCACCGTGCTGATCTTCTTGCCAGTGTGATCAGCAGCCCTTTCCAGACACACCGTGAAGACCTTGGGCACATGATGGACTGTAACTCTCTTAGAGATGGTAACCTCCTTCTTCTCACACCTTGAAACCAAGCACAGAGCCAAGTGCTGGAATGAACCCCATCTTGCCCCAGCAGGGCCTGACAGGCTTCTGTGTCTCATATCCTTGCAGTATTTTAAGGCTATTCCATGCCATAAGGTCATATTTAAAAAAAGCTGCACCTCATTGTTGTGCATTAAACCTGCGTGAGAACGTGATTGTCTGTGATGACATGCAGCTCCTTCACACTGGAAGTGTTAATATGCCATTAGAAATTATCTTACTTGCTACATTTGAAGCAGTTTCCTCCATCCAGCTGCTTGGGTGTGGCAAAGTCCTCCAGAGCTGCAGTGAGGGATGAGGCTGCCTGGAGAATTGAGAAATCAGTGCACTGAGCTACAGGAAATGCCCTCGCCCAAACATTTTCCAGGAGCTGACAAGAAAACCCCTGTAGCTGATGCTGAGGAGACCCACCACGACCCCGTGGGAAGTGTCCAGAAGGAGGCAGAAAGAGGGTGTGGTGCTGGACATTTCC